GAAGCCTCGTACGTGCGTATGTACATGCGTATACATGCATTTTTCCATAGGAGAAATAAAACAAAAAAAAAAACAAAAAAAAAAACAAAAAAAAATTTCAAGAGAGACATTCTACTTCATACATCTATCTTATTCTTTCTACGAAGGGGATTTATAAATTTACCTTTTTCTATATTTTTTTTTTTTTGTCTTTTGTCTCACACTTATTTCAAGTACACTTTTTCCTTACTTACAAGGGAACAACATTTTTGTTTTAAATCCACCCCTTTTCTAACTTTTGTATAATTACTCGTTTAAAGCTTAATTCAATTATGAAATAATTATGTCTTTTTTTTTTCTTTTCCTAAGAGCTTTTTAACTGCTTAACAATTTCTTTTTTTTTTCTGATAATAAAATTTAAGGTGTTTTACAATTATTGATAGAATTGTTGTTACTCTTTGTATGTTATTTATTTTAAAATTATCACCAACAGTAATAAATATATAATATATTTTATTATATTATTTATTAATTAGATTATAAGTATAATATAATATTAATTAATTAAATAATAATTATAATATAATATTAATTAATTAAATTATAAGCATAATATAATATTATATAAATTAAATTATATAAATCTAATATAATATTATATAAATTTAATTATAAATATAATATAATATTAATTAATTAAAATATATAAGTATAATATAATATTAATTAATTAAATTATATAAGTATAATATAATATTAATTAATTAAAGTATATAAGTATAATATAATATTATATAAATTAAAATATAAATCTAATACAATATTATATAAATTAAATTACAATTATATTATAATATTAATTAATTAAATTATAATTATAATATAATAATTAATTAATTAAATAATAAGTATAATATATATATACAATCTAACATTGTTAAATATTCATACATTTCTTTATTGCATTATATTTCATTTTTATATTATACTATACATATATATATATATAATGATATTAGTAACGAAGTTGAGAGGTTTTAACTCGAGCGTAAAAAGGTCATTGAACCTACGTGACATGGGATTAGTTAGACAAATCGTTGCTATCGAAGTTACTTCCGTGATTGTACTAACGATACCTAATTGTCTTTTTCGTAGGGCTTCCAGTGGCCGCGGAACTGATTCGCCCCTAAACTCGGATTTAGCACTGGACAAACCTAGACCGATACCATCACCCAGGTAAGATTGTTTAGCTTTTTCTTTTTCTCTTTTTAATCATTCAAAAATAAGAGACAGGGAGAGAGAGAGAGAGAGAGAGAGAGATACACAAGGCTACAAAACATGAGTTCAACTCCAACCCCATATTTTTTACATTTTTAATAATTTCTTATCAACTTGTCTTACATGGTGGTTTTTTTTTTTGATTCTAAAAAAAACATTTGTTCAGTTGAAAATAATAGTAATATATATATATATTGTTTATGTAATGCAATTATTAAATTTTTGTGGTTATTTTTTGAATAATTTGTAGACCTAACAAGATATATCGAACCTTTTTATTTCAACTTAAGTACTTCGTATTATTTGTTGGATATTTTTCTTCTGTTTTTTTTTTTAAATACATTAACTATGATATAATATTTTTAAATTTCTGCTTTACAATTTGATTATATTGAATGGAGAAATAAATTTTTCTCATTTTTTACATTGATCATTGGAAGATATAGTTTTGAAATTAATTGAGAATGTGTGATATATTCAAATGAAGTTATTAAAAAAAGAAAAATCTATTGACAATAGATAATCAATTGTATTTAGTTAGATATTACATAATTTAGAGATAATATGTTACATCTATCAAATGCTCAGCCAACACGTTCAACCCTTAGATATTTTGATTACCGACTGTTGCAGACAAATTCACCCTCTGTATGGAGAAAAGGCAGGGCTTTTAGGCTATTGCGATACTGTCGGTAACACAGAAAACTTTCCACCAGCCCCCAATATTGTTGTTGAGGGTGGAAGAATAGAATTTGTGCGCCCCTCGCAAGATGGCACTACGATACCAAGAAGAAATACGATGTCCCGAGGGTCACAAACTTTCAATGATCAAACAGAAAAATCTGATCCTGCGAAGGTAAGTTATTTTTCTCTCTCTCTCTCTCTCTCTCTCTCTCGATTTAACGCAGATAAATAAATCTTGCTTCGAATTTATGAAAATTTTATATTATTTTCATATTTAATATAAACATAATACACATTGTAAATTAAAACAATATTTCATTGATGAAAGTTTCTAGATTTTCCTCTTTTGATTTTCTATATATACGAATTCATAGCTAAACCCTTTACTAATACACCCTTTCATGTTGTATTCATTAGATGTAATTGATTTTCTCAATAGGAGGGAAGTAGAATTTCCATATCAAATTAGATTCTCTCTTTTTTTTTTCTTTTTTCTTCTTTATTTCTGATTCTTCCCCCTTAAAATCAAAGAAAAGGGAATCGTGCACGTGCCAATAATACTTGCCGATTATTACGAAATTAACGACATTTTGTGTGCTGTACAAATTCGTTTATAGATTCGAGAAGGGATTTAAGAAATAAAAAGAGAGAAGAAATAGGAGACAGAGAACATTAATTCTAACGACTTAATGAAATCTTCGAGAATGTTGACGTGATTCATTTTATCCCCGTTCTGTTTCTTTATCTTTTTATTACGTTATTTTATTATAATATTATCTGAGATAATTTTGCAAACGTATAAACACATTTATGTTGATGATTAATTAACTCACAATTTTAATAATTCGATTGAAAAATGATTCGTTTTGAATTTGTTACTTTTGTGTCAATTTATTTTTCGTATTTATCTTTTATTTTATTATTGTAAGATAATTTATTCTAATTTATAAAATCAATTATGATTTTATTATAAATATTATATATAAATATTATTGATAATTATATAAATTATTTATAATATTATTAAAATATAATATTATGTGTAATATTATTGGTAATTGATAAATTATTATTTATATTATTAATATTTATAATATTTGTAATTATTTATCAATTAATATATTTCTAAATATTATATAAATATATATAATTATAATTGTTAATTTATATATAAATATTATACATTTAATTGTGTACAATAAATTATTATAAATATTATATATATTTATATAATAATTATTTATATTAATATTATATTAATATTTATATAATATAATAATTATTTTATTAATTATTATAAATATTATATATTATATATAATTTATTAATTATTATAAGGTTTATGTATTATATAGAATTTAATAATAATATTTAATTATATATATATATAATTTTATATATAATTATATTATAATTTAATAATTTAATAATTTAATAATTATCATTTTATTAATTATTATAAATATAATATATTATATATTAATAATAATTAGAGATAAGATATTTATAAATTACAATTAATAATAAAATCACCAAAGGGGGTGAATTCTATCACACATAAATAAATTGAACGCGTTTAAAACGTAAAAATAAATTTTTCTTTTTTCCCGTTTAAATGCAAAAGAGGGGTTTTTTTTTTTTAACCGACGAGTAGTTTTTATCGTGCAAAAGACTGTTTTTCGCTTACCTCCTCCTGAACGTTCTTTTTTGTTTTTTTTCTTCTTCTTTTGCCTTTTAATTAATGAGGCACATACCACCATAGAGAGTCGAATAATGCCAGTTCTTGATAAGGTACACCCCCTCCCATAACTCTTGTGATTATACGAATCCCTTCATTACCTTCCTCGGCCGGTAGTACCGTTCTAACATAAGAAGAACTTACTTTAGGAAAACGTAAGTCAAATAAAACAAGAAAATAGAAAAGGGACAAACAAGAGAACCTGCCTTGCTGTTTAGCTGCCCTTTTGCGGCTCGTACAAATTTTTGTTTTTAAAAAACACGCTAATTGGAGGGACGTACTTTTTAATATCATAAGACTACTTATTTATATATATATATACTACTTTTCTTTTGCTTTTATTTGATTTCATTTTATTTTACTTATTTATACTCAAGTATGTTTAACTTGGCACGAAATTCTAAACTATGCAAATTTAATAGAGAAAAGCTGATAACTATTTTTTTATGGTTTTTTCAAGATGCATCTAATTTTTGATCAAATATTATAACAATAAAATTATAACATAACATAGAGGATATAATAAATGAACCCTTATCGGTCGCCAGGTTTTATTTAATATTGATGATTCTCACTAAGGTAAGTTATATGTGGTTTCAGTAAATATGTAACAAAATTATTCAGTATTATAAAAATAATTTATTATTTATTAGAAATGATTTATTTTGTTGACGAAGTACTACAAATATATGAAATTATTAATTATATAATTATTAATAATATATTTTCATTTGTAAGTCACTTCTTACGTGACTTACGACCGATAAGGGTTAAATTTAAACCTTTTATTTAACTATATAATAAATATAGAGAATGTATAGAATAAATAAATATATTACTTATAATTATATATATATAAACAAATATCCTGAATTTATTCGAGCGTATTTTTGTCGATTAACTTTCGAGAACGACGAAAAAGTTTTTTTCCTCCTGTCTATCGACTGATTTTGTTCCTTTTTTTTTTCTTTTTTTTTTTTTTTTACAATGAAACACACTCTCACCCTTTTTCTGTCTGAAACGTATCGAAAGTAGCTAACGTTTTTCAAGAGAATATTTTTTATCGACAAACGAACGAACGAACGAACGAACGAACGAATGAACGAACGAACAAAACTATGGCGCGTAAAACCATCGGGGATTGGGGGGGGGGGAGGTGGACTACTACTACCACCGTTTTTTATTTTCTATTTTTCATTTTTTTCTTTCTTTTACAAACGTACATTGACAACGCGACGCATTTCCTACGTTCGGCGACAACTAAAACTACTCTCCCTTTTCACGCGATAGGAAGGAAACACAATGGAAAAACTATGTGTATGAATAAATGTTAAAAAGGTATATTATAAAAATTTTTAAAAAGAAAAATGAAACGTAGAAAGTATAACTGTGCTTTAACATTAAAACTAGATGAAAGAGACAGTGGTGATATAGTTCTTATTACTATCTCAAATCTGTCTCACAGCATGACTCATATTTATAGCTTACAAAGTATACCTTCAGCTGACTTATACTTAGAAACAAGATTTTTCATTAGTAACGAAGGTCGACTAGTCAGTCGTTCATTTGCAACAACAACAATAACAACAACAATAACAACAACAGCAACGAGTCAACCCGTTAAAACGTTCGACGACTAACTAACAATTATAGTCTTATTCCTTTTTACTTATATTCATTTTTATTTATTTTTTATATTTTTTTTTTTTTATTATTTCAGACGTTTAGGCTTGCAGGAATGCAAGAAGTTATTTTTTTTTTTTTTTGGTTTCTTTATTATCTCTTTCTCTCTCTTATACACTCGCAATTTCCGGCTTTACGAACGACAGATCCAGCAGGTGGTTAAGGGATTATAAACGTAGACGTAACTATGTGTTACCTGGTGTGAATGCGAGTCACCAAGCCAGTTTTGCATGCCTGCTGGCTAACAACGAACCAACTGGACTTAAACGTAAACGTCAAACTTAAAGCCAATATTTCAACGGGTTCTTCAAAATCACCAAGCTATTTAACTATTTTTGTGATTTCCACATCTCTAAGTTAAGTTCATTGTACACTATACCAGTTGAATTCTATCATATACTTATATATATATATATATATATATATTGAGAAAGTTATTACAAAAATATTGTTTTAAAGTATTAAACGTGTTATAAGTATTTTTATAATATTTTATTAATTATTATTTAATTTTTTAATTTAATATTATGTTATATAAATAATATTATATTACATATAATATTATATAATAATATTTATAATTAATATATAT